AAAATGTATCGCAAGAAGTCACTTGAACAACTGAATTTCAACATTGGTCAAAACAAGTGTTAAATTTTATGTACATTTCAATAAATTTTGATGATAAAATTTAGTTTGCTTTGCCGGCATTTTTATTGAGCTCCAACTACTAATGTCCACTAATAACTGCTATGGCTGCTTTCAATATTCATAAGTTGGTTGAGTATGATCGTCCGGGTGAACGTAGTCCTGAACAGGACTACGTTCTTTCTTTGACTCTGAAGATGACTACCGCTCAGGTTTCTGAAACGTCAGTCACTGTCAACAACAACAGTCCTATTCAGGACTACGTCACACCCGGACGATCATACTGAACCAACTTATGAAATGACTCCTGGGGTCAAACCTTTCACAGTTTTTCGATATTTAGTTTCCCATTTGCGGAACATCCGGCATCAATCCCATCCCTACATTCACTGGTTAGAAATACGTAAAGAAAAGAGAATTACGGATCTTAAATTTTCTGCATTAACAAACCGTGAGAACTGAGAAACACGTTGGAATATTTGGATCCATGAATTTTCGTGAATATAGTATGTTTTGGGGCCGGATTGCACCTCTGTCAAAATAAGGGGCGGTAAATTTCTCCTTACTGCACGGTCAGCTGTAATGTTTTATTTCTCTTTGCGCGGGAGAGCAAAAAGACAAAAATTCTTTACGGTTTTCAATTAATGGTAAAGTAAAGATAAGTAAATGGCGTTTTAATTCCTACATAACTTCAGTAATTACGCAGACGGACCTCCGTTGACCCGAACGAACTACTGAGTATAATGGCGCCCCACCACTTAAAAGCGAACGTAAGGCATTATATGAGAGCGGTACCGCATAAGAGCTGCTACTTATTTAAACTTCCTCTTAGTTGACATTTCAGATTGTTTTAGAGTTCTTATCTAACTGTATAACGGTCTCGGAACCAGACAGCTTTTAGTTTTCTTCCCTATGAAAGCAAATATTTTAAAAGGGATATCAATCCAGGTGCCCTCGCCAGCTTTATATTTATAATAGCGTACAACTTACAGAACAAATACACATCGTGGGCTATCTAGTTCCTTTACTGTTTCGTGGCTGAAAATAATGGTCCAGTTTTCTTATAACTTCGAGAAGGTATTTAAAAGTTTAAACGAACACAACTTACCTAACCGGTCAGTATAAAACATGGACTGCGGACTGCGGACTACGGACTGCGGACTGGGTATAAAATACGGACTAGGTATAAAACGCGGACTGGAAAACACGGACTGGGTATAAAACACGGACAAAGTATAAAACGCGGACTGCGGACTGTGGACTGGGTATAAAATACGGACTACGGACTACTTTGGTAAAAACGGTGCTAATTGGTTCTAGGTAAGGAAAAATAAGATCAAAAGATCGCTAAATAGCAAGACACGTGAATTAAAGTTGTAAATACTCCTATAAATCAGTCTTGGTGGAGGTGTGTCGCTCGGTTCTCTGAATCATGAGCCGGGTCAAAATGCTATTTTCTTCACCCATTTTTAGACCTTGTCTCGGTCTCTAACAATCATGAAAGGGGTCAGGATCGGGGGTGGTACTTCCTTATATAATGAAAGGGTAGGAGTTTTGGGCCTTTTTGGTCTGAAAACACTTTGCCCGTTTTGGTGTGGAATCGGGTATGGTTTTCGAGGGAACAACGGGAGCGTACATGAATGGACGGATTTATCGTTTCAATTCCAAATGAATAAGAACGAAATAGAAATGTGCCAATTCGAAATGTATTTGGAGAATTTTTTTGTTTCCGCTCTAACTTGGTAATGATGACATAATTTCTGCCTAATTAGACCTAAACCGTTACAGGCTCTGAGATAGTTGGGTCCGCTGAAATGAGAAAGCGAAAACACGAAAATAAAACGAGTGAGAACTGGCGAGTCTCCCCAACTATCTGAGAGCCTGGAACAGGCTAAATTAGGCCAGGTCCGAAAATGGGTATGGATTTTAGAGATCTGGTCTGAAAACGGATGTGGAAAATGGCATTTTTTGGTCTGCAATAACGTCAGGATTCGGAGAACCGGGCACCACACCCCCACCAAGAATTCCCAGTGGTACCACCTTCCGGGGATCAGGAGCAGGGTGTAAATCATGTCATCATAATCATCGCTTAGAACATAACGTTGTATGACTCATTTCGGTTATTGTTCACGTATGTGAGTAATCCCTCCCCCCCCCAATACTGCTTTTGTGCATCGTGGAATGCCCTACATTGACCTTCTCGTCTGAGTTCTTCATTCAGTCCTCATATTCCCAAGCCTTTATTTGAAACGGAATTGTGACATCCGATAAGAATTTTACTGATCTGACTTACATCAATACTATTTTTTTTAAATTCGCTGCTTCTTATTGGTTTAAAACTGCAAATTGAAATCTCTTCTAACTCCCTCCTTTTATAAAATTCAGAGTTTAATTTCAGTTGCCTTGAGGAATGGGCATGACCTTCCTTCTCCGTGGGAAGAATAGACTTCGTGAGGAATGTTAAAGCTGGGACTACTGTTTTTGCTAGTCCGCTTTCCATTTCTCTCGGTTTTACCTTTCTAAAGTCGTTTTTATATACATAGTCTGTAGTCCGCGTTTTATACCTAGTCCGTGTTTTATACTCAGTCCGGAGTCCGCATTTTATACCTAGTCCATATTTTATACCCAGTCCGCAGTCCGTGGTCCGCAGTCCGCAGTCCGCAGTCCGTGTTTTATACTGACCGCTTACCTAACCCGGAATCCATCGTGATCCATGTGAAAGCTGATATGTCAACGCTGATTCGGATTAGGGAGGATTCATAATAAAGGAAATACTTTACATACTCAAAGTGACTTGGGAAGGATAACCATTCACCGAATTAGTGTCTTGTCTCCCTATGTCAGGGAATGCGGATTCCGGAATGCGGGAAATTTTTGCTTGTGGAATCCGGAATCCAAGTTCCACTGAAAAAGAATCCAAGAGTGTCTTGGATTCCCTTACAAGGGGCGATTCTTGATCACTATTCGCTTCTGGTGCATGTATGTTTACAAAAAGAGTGTGTAACAGGACAGGGAAGTAGCTAGAAATTCTAAGTAAAGTAAGTAAGCAAGTAGGAACTTTATTGTAGTGTCAAGGTCGCAAGCATACAAAGTACACTAATTGGAGACACCTAACTACAGTTACTTATCTGATTGTCCATAAAATAATCTAATAATCAATAAAATATGAAATACAACATCAGTCATTACTTGTTAGCCTTTCAGAGGTTCTTGATTCATTTTTCTCATGGTACTCCGGTTTTCCCCTCTCCTTAATCTAAATCTGGTTAAAAAATTATGCAATAATGAAAAAGAGGCGTTTTAGTACATTCTAGTTATAGACTGAGGTCTAAGTTTATCACTGCTCCCTGTTCTTCTTTGCAATACATCCTTGTAATGTTGTAATGAAAACAGTGCAAAAAACTGTGGACAACAGTTGCATAAGTAATTAATTTCTAGATTATTACGTATAAGGCTCTCGCACTTTTCTCCAAAGTTAAGTCATCTCCTGGACAGACATTACAACAGGATTTTCTTTCTGGAGCAAAAGATTTTGCATGATTGTTCATTGCACAATAATCGATACAATTCCGAATACTACATTTTAATTCAGTTCATTCATGGATGAGCTTGACAGTGAGTTTGGAAATTTGGACTTTTAAAGTAAGATGGTTTTTTTTTTATATTTACAGCCGAGTCTGAAAAAAGTATGACAACTGTCCACATCTTATTATGAATGCAAACTTAAAATAGCATTCATAAAGGAAGCCTGAAAATAAAAACATGCAAGGGAACCTTTTAATCACTATTAGGTTGTCCAGAATGGAGAAGAAACAAGTATAGTAACAGAAAAAGGAAGTGCCTACACCACAATAATTATGATTCTTTTATAGGGCTCCCTCAGAACTAAAGCAGCAAACATTGAATAGATTGGACTATGAATAAAAGTTTTACTGTTGGTCATAAATACTTATTACCAGTACATACATTTAACATGGAGCTAACTGATTGTGTCATACAGGTATATTTTAACATCTTGGAAGATCCTTAACCCTTTAAACCCTAATTTTGAAATCAACCTTCTCATTTAATGTCCCTGTACATTTCCTATAAAAGTGAAAAGTTGTTGAAGTAACAAAGAATTAAGTTCATCTTGTGTGATCCTGACCAAACTGCTCTATAAAGTAGCGATATTACAAGGAGAAATTTCATATTGATCACTATTACGGTTTAAAGAGTTAACGGAAAAACTCAAACAACTGGCAAACTCATAATAACAGCACTTTAGTTTTGACATCAAAGGGTGCTTTCCAAAAGTCAGAACTGGCCAGCCTGACCAATCATTTTGAAAGTGAAATACAGTAAAAACCCGCGTCTAAGAACCTGGTTTTTAAGAAACCTGTTAGGCTAAAATTTGCCAGTTAGGCTCCCTCTATACAAGAACATGTTGAGCCTAAAATCTGAAACAGGTTCTTATTTTCTAAAATCTATATTAAAAAAATCCTGTACAATTGGGTAAAATAAGATAAGTAAACATCAAGGATCATCCTTGGGGGCACGTGCCTAGTAACTCCAACTGCAATGTAATGGTATGCAGATTTTATGTAAGGAATAAGCTGAATACCACTAAATGCTCTTAGCTACAATGCATTTTTTCTTCAGAAAATAAGACCCTATTTGAGAACCCAAATAGTCTATATTTGTGCTAATTACTATTTATGTAAGAACCTGTTTAGGCTAACTAGGGAAAATGCACATTCTTAGTCGTGGGTTTTTACTGTATCAGAATTTTCTCAAAATTGTAACTAAAACCCATCACTGTGATACACACTATTTGAGGATAAACAGATCTGTTGGATGGTCCTGGGTTGATATTGTATTTGTCTCTATGACTAGACTGGTCTGGCCAGCCAGTTCAGTCAAATGGTAAGCACAACAATACAAAATAAAATAAAATAACAATGCTATTTTTTGGTGCTGCCAAAACCAGAAAATCCCATGGTAGCAGCCAGATCTGGATCAATATCTCCATCATCCACAGCAGTCTTCTGTTTCTTTTCTTTCCGTGCAATCTTCCTATGTTGCCTCCTTTGCTCTTCCTTTAGATAAAAACAATGAGGAGAAATAATATCAATGCTTATTATACAAACACCAATGAAATACCAGGTGAGCTTTCGCGCGAAAACTTGATACCTTCACATGTGAAAATATAACCTTTGCTATGGCTACAAAATAAATCACGCCTTTCACACCAAAAAACTATTAAAGTGAAATGGTTTGGTATTTCATTGGTGTTTATATTGTAATTGCAGAGAAGTACACGTTGAAAAGTGTCTGTGATAATATTCACAGGAAAATTCTCCTGAACAGTCTCCATACATTTCTTTAACAATATAAGTTGAGAGAATTTGATAAAAGATCAAAGCATCTTCTCCTTGTTGATCATTTTATCACTTCTCATAACTTTTCACCTGATGATGTGTGGAGTATTCTTTAACATTATTATTCCTCGAGTCCGAATGGGCTCTGAGTCAATAGCCCATGAGGCTGAAAGCCGAATAGGCTACAGTGTATTGACTCAGAGGCCATGAGGGCAAGAAGAATAATATTGTTTCAGTAAAATCCAACTAGTTGGTCAAAAATATTGAGACAAAACAACTTTAGCTGGTTAAAGCTAGACTTCATTCCTTTTTTGCCGCCAAAAAGCTGGCGCTTTTGCTACCAGTGGGCTATAAAATATAGCCTAGTAGTAGCTTAACCAATCAATTTTCACAAGAATTGTGAAAACACAGGTAAAATTCTGAAAATTTCATGTGTAAGGTGCCATTTTGTGAAATTTGACATTCATTTTCTTGGGCTCCCATAAGAAATTTTTTTGGTGTTATTACAGATGACTAATTCCATCTTTAGCCCTTGAAAAATGTAAAAATGAATACAATATGCTTTGAATTATTGTGGTACAAGGTTTCTGTCCACTGAAAATTAAAATTACTCAATTTCCTGATGGATTCCATCTTAAATATTTTCTTCTAACAGCTGTGAGAATATTTGAACAGCTGGCACCTTGATAGTCTAGATCAGATGACAGATGTACATATGTTGTGGTTCACATTTTATTTCCTTTGCTTTAGGGTATAGCAGTGTCTGATAATGAGTTTGAAACAAAGAAGATAATGAAAATGAAGAAATAATTGTCACAGTGAACGCAATTTATGCAACTGCATAAAGAAGCCTGAAAAAAAAAAGTCCTGAATTTTTTTCAGGCTTCTTTACACAATTGCATAAATTGCATTCACTGCGCCGATCATTTCTTGACTTTCATTTTATTTCCACAGTTCATATATGATTTATTTCATATATCATTAACAAAGAAGATAATGATTGATTGAACCAAGCATAAAATGACACTTAAACCAAGCAGGTTTGCTAAGTAGCTAATATGGAATATGCATTAAAGGATATCTAGCTTCTAACTGGCCAGAGGAAGGCCAATGAAACACATACATGTATAAAGAATCATAATGTAATGATACAGAAATTTCTATTTCATTGATGTTGTGTATTTACTGTGATTCAAAACCTATCCTTTCATTGTATGGTAAACATCCAATTCCCTGTAACTTAGCACCATAATAACAGGCACAGATCCACACCCCCTTCCAACGTTTTGCAGAAATCGGTCAGATTTTTTATGATTAATATATTTTAAAAGAAACAAAAAACTTCCCAACTTGAAATCTGGACAGTAGTTTGGACAGTCAGTAAATATCCTTTATGAATGACTCAGAAACCCAGGAAAGGGGACTTTGGGGGATTAACATCCAAACAATTTCCCCGGGAGCACACCCCCGGACAACCCCTAGTAGCATGTGCTTTCGGCACTCATTTAGGGGATTGGTCAGTATTTATTCTACAATACTTGTAAGAAATCTCGAATGTTCACTTGCGTGCATTTCCCCTTTCCCAATGTTGATTTGGGTGCTACAATCGTCTCAGTGCTCCAATATATGCATGGCTCAACAAAGGGGAAGGAGAGGGGCACAAGTGAGCTGAGAACAAAGGTGTAAATAATGAATGTAAGAAATTTTCGAGACAATTCAAGAGAAACAGTTTCTGTTTCAAAGATTTTTGACGAGTATTGTAGATCGGCACCTGATAAAATACTTAAGTTTTTTTGTTACTCAATCCAACCTGCCTGCCTCAACTAGGAATTCAAGGGAAGTTCTATGTTGATTGTTTCTTTTATACATTACAGTCAAGCCAGGTCAAGTGTACCCCCCAAGATTTCACTACCGAGGGTAATGAATTTATTATTCGAAAGTTGAATCCATTGGTCCTTGTAGATTTCAGATTCATCTCTGTATTCTTGCATGCCTAATGAGCGTGAATTCACACACGAGGCAGTTAGGAAATTTCTAACAGCTCAGTTTTCCTGAATTTGATGTAAATGTCTTCTAAGAAATTTCACCCATTCAAAGATTTTCAATCTGTCCAAATACAGAGAAGTTCTTGTAACATATTCACTGCTCATTACACATGCAGAAATGCCGAATTGAATTTGACACCAATTACAGGAACAACTAACAAATTCATTTCTTTTCTTAAATAATCAAGTCATTAATAGAATCTTGGAGGGTACGCTTGACCTGTCTTGACTGTAATAATTGTTACCGTTTTCTGAAAATGATACTAGCTTTTCAGCATAAAACATCTTTGAAGATGACATTAGTCCAGACTGTGATTTGTTCTTTACCAGAACCCCTTTTAAACAGACTGTGAAGTATGGAGTATAAACAATAAACCATGTTAATAATGCAATTTACTGGCACCATTCTATCTTTATTATTCAAACTATTCAGGGCTCAAAGTTTAAATTTGAGTTTAGGAGCACTTGTGCTACCAGATGTAAATTTTTAGGCCCACTGCCGAAATTTTAGGCGCACAGCTGAAAATTTTAGGAGCACAGCTTATAATTGTGAAAGATTTGAACCCAGGAGTCATTTCACAAGTAGGTTGAGTTTGATCGTCCGGGTGAACGTAGTGCTGAATAGGACTGTTGTTGTTAACGGTGACTGACGTTTCAACAACCTATGCGGTAGTCACCTTCAGAGTCAAAGTGAGTTGTATCACGTCAGTTGATAGTATTATACTCTGGTCATTGAACTGATTGGTCAATTACATTGCGATGTTATTGGTCGTCTGTCAGTTAAGCCATGATGTTATTGGCTATGAAGACTCATAATCAGTAATTGGTGCGTTTCAATTTGTCTATTGTCACAGTTAAACAGTCGTCTATTGTTAGTCAAATTAATAGTTCTGCAGTCGTTCTCTCATAGTTAGTTTTGCTTGATCTCGTCAATAAGTCCTTTGTATGGCGCTGGTAACTGTTGGCTACGATTCAGTAGCGTTTGTTCTAAGTTAGTAAACCAACTTTCTAAAGTAAGTCGTTGATGGTAGTCTGTAGAATACGTAATACATGTTGCAGAGTCCCAGTCAATTTGATGTTTCGTCTGTAAATGGTGCTCAGTAATGTGATTGTTGCCATCACCATTCCTCGACGCTCGTTTGTGTTTGGTCAGTCGTGTGCTAAAGTTTCTGCCAGTTTCACCAAAGTAAGTAGCCTAGCAGTCGCAGCATTTGATCTTGTATACTAAACGCCCCGTTTTTATTTGATTGCCCTTAAAACTGAACTTTCGACATGATTGCCCATTGCGCAAAAAGCAAGTCTTTCGTTAGTAGCATAATGAATGATTTTCCAGTAATCGGAGACTTAGTTATGCGCACAGGGTTATGGGATCGCCAGGGGGCAAGCATTGCAAGTCGCTACAAAGAAATGTATGGCGTGGAGCTGTTTCTCCATTTAAAACCAGTGTTTTTGGACAGAGAATGCTGAATTTTGCCGTGATTTTATGAGAAGTGGAGGTGACTAATGTTGGTGCGTTGATTGTAAGTTTTTGCGGGATCAATGCGATGAAATCTATCAATAAACACTCCTTCTTGCGAAGGTCGACTGTGAAAGTTACTGAATGGTCTCGAAATATATAGTACTAACTTACCAGGTATAAATGAGCGGGGAATGTGGACTCATTTATTAAGCCTTTCCAGTTGTAAGTACATGTGCTGACATTTACAATGAGTGTAATTACGTTCGGCTCGGCGGCAAACACAACGTTGTGCCAGTTTGTGACAACGATCGAAGGTAAGCTTATGTATTGTCGAATTTTATATGTACAGTATTAACTTTAAAAGCAAAAACATTGGTATACTGATTCCTTCTAGCCAAAAAGACACAAGCGAAATGTTTTGTCATGATCTCTTTTCTGAACATTTTGAGGGAAGATATAGAATCTCTGAATTTCGCACATCAACTTGGTATTTATTTATACACTCACTGCTATTGTATCGGAAATCTCACTCGTTCGTACGATTTCTGCGCCATCTACTAATGGTTAAATAACATGTACTTTCCATGAAATATTTCGCAGATATTACTTTGTTTATACCAAAGTAAGAGGATTTTTTCTTTTTATGGACACGTCCTACGATTGTTGAGCGTCATAACCCGCACAGAGCTGATTGCGGCCGCGCGTAGTTACACTTGTTGTAAATATCACCACACGTAATTAAAACTAAAAAGCTTAAATGAGCCATCCCCCTACATTTATACCTAAATTTGCACTATACATTTCGAGACCTCTTCTTCATGTGGATCACTGTGTAAATTCAGTAAACATAAATTTCACACTCAACCTCACACAAGGAGTGTTTATCGATAGAATTTATCGCATTAATCACACAGAAACTTGAAATTTCAACGCACTAACATTAGTCACCTCCATTTCTCATAAAATCACGGCAAAGTGCGGCATTCTATGTCCAAAGACACTGCTTTTAACGGAGAAACAACTCCACGCCATACAATTCTTTGTAGCGACTCGCAATGTTTGCCCCCTGGCGATCCCAAAATCCTGTGCGCAAAACATGAACTGGTTGTGCTATTTCTATCTTACTTTTACTTTCATTGCTTGAACCTACTGTTCAGCGTCTTTCTAGTTCAAGTACGTAAGTATGGTCGGAAGCAAGTCAGTTGCACTATGCTTTGGATTTTATGGTGCACAGGTGTCATTACACATGAGTTTTTAGGCACGTAAACTAAAAATCCAGTTGCATATGCGACCAGTTGGTTGTTAACTTTGAGCCCTGACTATTTCAGTGCTTACGATTGAGACACTTGTAATGTATATATGACCCACAGAAATGATAGCATCAACAGCGAGTGTTCATGCTTCTGCAGCAAACGTGAGCATAACAACCTTGTTCCCTGTGTTCTTTTACAAGGTGGGGTGAGTTACTACTCACTTAAAGTGCACTTCAGCAACAATGACAATATGCTGTTTTGACTTTGACAGCTACATGTACACACCTGAGTGAATGACAAATTTGCATATTGCAGCCCATCAGAACAACTGGCAGATACCCTTTGGGTATCCACAAGTTAAAAACATCTTCTCTTTACTACAATTAGGTAAGTCATTTTGTCATTTCGCCATTTCGAGTTTTAAACATGCCCAGTGCAAGACTACACAGTCTATTTTTCAGTGATGTTTCTAAGTGGACTTCTGTTCTTCAACCACGATTTTCGATCCTGACAAACCCAACATTAGTTAGCTCTCTATATCTTACCTCTTCCCGCAAAATAGCCATTCTCTCCTCCAGATCATACTCCTTTTCCTTTTTCTGCTTTTCTTCTTCTCTCTTTCTCTTATTCATCTCAAAACGTTTTTTGACTTGATCAAGAGAAGACCGTTCCACTCTCATAGACATACCCAGATTTCGCTGATGTTTTTTGCCATTAATATGGTCGAGAAAATTCACAGAATCTTTGACAACACAGTCACAGACATTGCAGTAATATCCTCCAGTGTGTGAAAGCGGCGTTGTTTTGGTTATCACCACCGATTTTCCGAGGTTGGCTTCAAGATCTACATCATAACCTCTACGTTTTAGAAGTTCTCTTTTCACCGGGGCAGATGGACGCCGTTTAGAACTCGAATCATCCTCGTCGTCAGAATCATCCAGCGCTCGTTCTTTAGCTTTCCTTTCATACTCTTCTCTGTCCCATGTCCTTCTGAAGTTATCATTTTTCCCGCTTGTGCCTGCCATGTCGAAAATAACGACAATAAAACTCTCAAAACAGAACTTTCTTTCGGGAATGGGAGAAAGTAAGAATAAAATCGCCCAGGCGTTCCACTTTTGGACAATGAGCCTTATTTGGCGAAGGCCAATAAGAAGGATCCTAAGAACAAAAGCAATTGTTTTTATCCATATTTGGGAGGAATTGTTCTCCATATTTGGAAGTGTAGCGCAGTCCACTCAGGGTGTGACGTTGAGGCCAAGGTCCTCGTGCGACTTACGTGAATCGCGCCATCTTTGTTCTTGGCAGCAACGGCTTCAAGAAGCTTGTGTTTTCCTCTCGCCTTCCGGTCAGGAGAAAGCACTAGTCGATTTTTTATATGACGTGCCCGCCGAATTGGGGCTTTAAAAACTGTTTGATGCTTGTTAGAAGTTACAAGATATTAACAAAGGTGAGAAATTGGTTTGTTGTCCCGTTTTTAGTGCACGTTTTGTTTGGATTCGTGCGTGATTGATCGGATGATTGAGTTCTTCGGATGTTCGTGTCGCTAGTCGGGACAGTTTAACCCGAATTCACGTTTTTTAAATATTTTCCCACGGCAAATTTTGTCAAAAATACGATTAAGTGATTCACGAGGTTTCCACTCTATAACAACAGGTAAAATATTGAAAGGGAATGAAACGTGTTATCAAACGTGTCAAGAAGCTTTTCTATGGCGATGTTTTTGTTGACTTAAAACCAATTTTCCTTTCCATGCGGAATTATACTTCGTGTTCCACACAAAACGCTACTTCATTTACTGTTTGGCTTTGAAAAAAGTCCAACTTTGCGCGAAAACTTGAAACATGGATTTCGCGGTCTTTTTGACAGGTACCTGATGCGGCTTTCCTTCTGTATGGTGTGAGCGTACCAACCTGATTTCGGCTCGGCATCGGTCACGCTGGCTCTAATAGCCGTCATTTCTACCTTTCAACTTCAGAGTGGATAAATTTTATTGTTTTTAGTAGATTGAGTCTTGAAAATTATGAGAAATCGTGCGAGAATAGGTTTCGTGAGTTACAGGAAATGTATTGTGCAAGAGAAATGGATGGTTTGTTGACGAAGGACCCATATTGTTTGCTTTATCTTATGTCCGTCGCGTCGCTCACAGCGGTGCAGGTCTAACATTCAGCTTTCTTCAAGACTTAAATTTGTTGTTTTTGCCGTTCACAGGAACGTCGATGGCTGGCCCAGGACGTTTTGTCGACATAAATCGAGCCACGACCGAAGAACTTGAGAGTTTAAGTGGAGTGGGAAGAACAATAGCGAAGAGTATTGTGGAAGTACGAACTGCCTTGGGCGGTTTTTCGAGTATCGAAGACTTGAAAGTTATCCAAGGAATCGGAAAAATTTTCTTTGATGTCAACAAAAATGGCTTGTGTTGTACACCGACGTCATCCGTTACCAGACGCGAGACAAGGGGCTCGGCTAAAGCAAAAACTGGAAGGCCCTCGTTAAATAGAAGGTGTTCTCCTACACGGACGTCAAGTAAGGGACAAAGCACACCAAAAGGAAATGGTGGCGAATCTGCGAAACGGAAACTTTCATGTAGCAGTAGTCATCAGCTTGATGACGAAGAAAGTGAGAAAACATCACCAGAAAAGAAATTTTGTACCCCAGCCCACAAGAGACTGCTAAAACTCCTTCCCCTTAGAAATTATGGGACAATTAAGACTGCAACACCTCTGATGAGTCCTGTTGACAGCCGCCGCAGACACATGTCATTCTGCGGCCATTCCCCAGCAGGACTGGAGGAATGGTTGCGCACATTTCACCAGTGGTCAGTGGAGGAGCGGAAGTACGCTCTTGATGAAATCATTGAGACATGTGAACCTGCAATTGTGAGGCATATTATGGGTACAATTGAACCAAGGTTTCAGCGGGACTTCATATCTCTGTTACCAAGAGAACTCGCTTTGTACGTCCTGTCATTTTTGGAACCCAAGGACTTGCTGCGTGCTGCTCAAACCTGCAAATGTTGGCAAACTCTTTGTGATGACAACTTGTGAGTAGGCCCATTTTCTCATTTCTAGTTCAGGTCACCTTAAAAGAAATTGTTGACACATACAACCTGTTAACTTGGACAGACAAAATGGAAAACTTGTCCTGAACAATTCATTGTTATATTTTCATCTCTATGAAGGACCAAATCTTTATACTGAAATGTACATATTTTATAAGCACATAATAAACCAATATGTTTGGTATATGACTAGATCACATCTAAAGGATATATGAATGCAGAGCTGCAAATAACTTTCTCCTCTTAAAAGGACATGTGTCCCATTACCCAGCTATCTTTGGTCGGACAAAACAAAATTTTGGTCAAACTGCACCATGCAGTCTTGACATGTTTGACTTTAGTAAATGATATCTTTAGTTACATTGGCAAAATTATTCACTCCGATCCTGCGCTTGTACAGATAAACTAATAAATGGCAGTGCAAACCCTTATAAAATGATCCGGTTAATTTTCCAGCAGAAACTTTTGTCAAGTAATGAATAACATAATTAGATGCATTCCGACGACAGACTACCACACTGGCGCTCATGTCTTGTTTTCAATTCATAGCAAATTTTTACTGTGATGACTCTCGAAAAATAAGAACAAAAAGAAAAATCTTGAGAATGTCCTAACACAAAGTAAAATTTACTCAAGGTAGATTTTTATTCTTCCTTACTGTAAAATGATTTATGATAAAAAATTCTCTGGACATAATGTCTGAACACAGGTGGGATTTCATTGGACACAAGCAAATTTTGGTCAACCAATGGCCAATCACCGCCTGTTATTTGCAGCCCTGTGAGTGTTTTGTGAATATATGTCTATTTCCTTGTATCATGAAGGTTATAAATCTGACCTTTCTGTGTCTTCATTTAATAGGCTTTGGAAACAGAAGTGTAAGCAAGCAAGGATAGAAGAAGAGCCACTAAATCCTGTCAAGTGTGTCCGACGCAGATCTAATGGTTCACAACAGGTCAACCAAACTACCAAAGCTTTAAATAGCCCATTTAAAAAACTTTTCATGACAAAACAACGTATTTATTGGAATTGGAGGATGGGACCATTACGCCCATCTAAAGTCCTCAAAGGACATGACGACCATGTTATTACATGTCTTCAGTTTTGTGGTAGTAGAATTGTGAGCGGTTCTGATGATGGCACACTGAAAGTGTGGTCTGCCCTATCTGGCAAGTGTCTCCGCACTCTTGTGGGGCACACAGGTGGAGTCTGGTCATCCCAACTGAGTGGTAATGTAATTGTCAGTGGCTCCACTGATCGAACACTCAAGGTTTGGAATGCAGACACTGGACAGTGCATGCATACACTGTATGGACACTCATCCACTGTGCGCTGCATGGACATGCATGATAACACTGTAGTGAGTGGCTCCAGGGATGGAACTCTAAGAGTTTGGGATACATCTTCTGGAAACTGTCTTCATGTATTAGTTGGCCATCTTGCGGCAGTGAGATGGTAAGTAGGATTATAGACATACAGTTGAACCTCCATTAAGTGGTCACCCTGTATTAAGTGACCAGTAATAAAAGTCCCGAAATAATGAGGAAAAGAATGGGGAATTAAACTGCTGCCACATTTTGGCTGTCCCAACAAGAGTTCTTCCATTGTTTTCATCAAGGGCTTGATTAGTTCTAAGTCTTTATTTTAAGAATATGATGAAAGAAAATACAGTCCGAGATAGAATGTAACTACTGATTGTGGACCAGCAATGCTGCTTCTGTCACGTATGTGTTTCAAAATAAAGCGATGTTTCTGCTAAAGATGATAAATCATTGAGTAGCCAACCTCCAATAAGTAGCCACTGGCTAGTACCCCAAGGGTGGCCGCTTTATGGAGGTTCAACCAGGGTTGTCACTAAGATTTCAAGTTGCCGGGTAAACACAACAAGTAGGCGGGGAGTCAAACGGCTAGGGATTTCCTTTGGTTCTATTTTTCTTCTATTTTCCAATAAAAGTAGCCGGGGGCCACTCTCTTAGTAGCCGGGGAAAATCCCCGGCCTCCGGCTCTTAATGACAACCCTGTTCGCCTGTAGTCATATTTATTTCTCTTCCCTTTTCTACATCAACAAGAAACAGATCATCCATTTATACTGTTTTCACTGTAAAAAATATTGTGGTAGATATCTGTGAAGTGGTTTGTATATCAAGAATTTCAACGCCCAAGTTATTTAAAAGACAATCAGCACAAAGCCAGGCATAACCACTATGCCAGCTTGTATTCTCTGTTACTGGAAACCAGGAATTGGAGCTCACTGGGCTCTGAAAAACCTGCTGCAGATAGCTAAGGTCACTGTAGACAACTGTAGCCTCTGGGTATTTTAGAGGTGTTGATTGACTGGAAAGTAATTTTTGTAGTGGTTCATTCAGAGTTCCCATGTCTAGTTTCAGTAGCTTTTTTATTTGAACTTCTTGTTGTCAGAATTACCTACATAGTAAATGCAGAGGTGAATGCTTTTAGTGGGCCTTGAAAATAGAGTCAATTAAAAGGTTTCCGTACAATAGCATGGTTGAAAAAAACTTTGAATTCCAGCTTGCTCTTTGGGCTAGCCACTCACACATTTTGCTTGCCTGGGACCACTTCTTACTCATCTTAGTTAATGATTTTGTCGGAAGATAACTTGTCCAGTTGGGCAAGTAAGCTTCAAAAGTTACTTACCCCGCAATAAAATCTATTTGTCCTGGACTACCAGGTAGGACTTTTCTTGAGCTCTGAAGAAAAGGATGAGGTTTTATGTTCATGTAAGATGATTATGCAACTTATAAATAAGATTTCACTGTTCATGTACTTTAAGAATTTTGACATGAGCATGACTTGAAAGCTGTTCTGTTATGTTTCCTAGTGTGAAGTACGATGGTAGACGTGTAGTCAGTGGAGCTTATGACTTCCTTGTAAAAGTTTGGGACCCAGAAACAGAACAGTGTATACACACTCTACAAGGGCATACCAACAGGGTCTACTCCTTACAATTTGATGGTGTGTACATTGTTAGTGGTTCACTGGACACCTCAATACGTGTATGGCACGTGGAGACTGGTCAGTGCCTTCACACCTTAATTGGACACCAGTCACTCACCAGTGGTATGGAACTTAAGAACAATACTTTGGTGTCTGGGAATGCTGATTCAACTGTCAAAATCTGGGACATCACTTCTGGTCAGTGTTTGCAAACCCTTGCAGGTCCAAATAAGCACCAGAGTGCTGTTACATGCCTGCAATTCAACAGCCGCTTTGTGATTACTAGCTCAGATGATGGCACAGTGAAAATCTGGGATTTGCGTACTGGAGAGTTTATCAGAGATCTTGTGAAGTTGGACAGTGGGGGTAGTGGTGGTGTGGTTTGGAGAGTAAAATGTGATGAAAAGAAACTTGTTTGTGCTGTGGGAAGCAGAAATGGTACAGAAGAAACCAAGCTCCTGGTCTTGGACTTTGATGTACATGATTAATATTTCATTCCTTTGAAAAATCTCTAAATAATTTTTGTGCATTACCCTGAAAGTAAGACTACCTTACAATTCACATGGTGCCTTTTTGTATAGATTTGAATATAGAGTATACTGACTTAAAAGATTTCGACTCATAAATAGCTATTGTTACTCTTTAAACTGGGTAGTTGATTTTTGGGAAGCAATAGGCACACAACAGAGTTTTCTTGTTGATCATAGTCTCTTTTGAGGAGTGGACATCAGTGTAAAAGTCACATTTGCCGTCTTGTAATAATATTGAAGCTTAGCATTCACCAACGTTGGCTACTCGTATGTATGCACACATTTGGTTTATAAAAATACTTTAACCCTAACCCTAACATTAACTCTTTTATATATCAACTAAGTTTCATCCCTTTGGTCCCAATCCCAATATGTCCCAAAATCACCTTTATAATAAATGTGTAATCATACAAATAGCAAAGTAGAAGATTTTATGGAAGGAATCTATTAGTTGAATTGGGACTCAATGGATCAAACATTAGCAAAATATATAAAGTAATGCAACAAAATTATTAGATTGCAGACATACATGATCTGTAATGTTAGATTTGTTGCTTAAGACTGCTTACAAAACAACATCAGCAAAAGCTATAGTTCATTTAGTTTGTGAATGAACTTGTTTATTATCAAGTCAATCAAGCAAGGAGAAATGCCTGCTGGCCAGGCAAATCAATTAAATTCAATTATTGTAAGAATTTGACAAATGTATCCATCAAGGACTGTACAAAAAGAGTGACCCACCTCGATGAGAAGTTACAAAAATATATATATTTTTGACAGCCTTTGAATTATCATTAGAGCAAATGTGGGATAATTTTGCTTGTGTTCACATGGTGTTATACCCTGCTGTCAGCGTGTCTTTGTATATTGTTACGGGACTTAAATGGCATTGGATATTTTGTGGTATCCTTAAGTAATTTTTCAACTTGTGTTTTTGGAACTGGCATCATTTTCAGACGATTGTAAAGTCTGTAATAAGTTATATGTTGGGTTACACATCAACGATGGAAGAAAATAAAGCTTATTTTTGTACTATCTGCAATCAACTGTAGTCATTACTGAGGTCAAACCTACCCATTTATTTGCTTTATAAATGATGGTAAATGGACTGAGTGGAGTCCAATTCTGTATGTAACCATACAAGTGATTAACAAAATCGTGGAAGTCCAATTTGTTTAATCACGGTTATGATTGCCAACCAAATTGGACAACAAGGATTTCTGTTACCAATATATCATGACTAACAAAATTTGTAATATTTTAACCTTTTTTATAATTAAAGCACAAAATAATACCAGTTTTTTTGCAAGAAGTGGAAGAAAACCTATTCAAGTGTGCGTGCAATAGGGCATACTGTATAATAAGTAGGTAATATTATTACTTAGGCTCTATTACACTCTCCTATGATTGCTGAAATCAGTACAGCTGATAGCCAATCAGATTTGAGAATTTTGTTATAGTGATGATTAACAGTCAAATCTCCCAATACAGAAACATCTCAATGTGGGCATCTCTCTGATAGCAACAATTTGCTTATGGCAAAATCCTTAAAATGCCGAGATTCAGTTATGGCTTGCATGTAGCTGAGTCAAACTACAGGGGGTCTCCTCAGAGAATAGGTTTATGTAAGGAGAATCTACCAGATAAAATTTCTGGGTTACAACATGAGCAGTTCCCTGCTGTCATAAAAGTTCCTCTTATACCCGAGTTGCGTAGTAAATACAGTGAGCATCTCTGGTATGAGGGTAGGCTCCCCGCAGACTTCCTTTGGGGTTTGTTCGTCACGCATTCGAAATGAATACGTGACGAACGAACTCCAAAGGACGTCTGCGGGGAGACTATGGTATGAGTTGTATCAAGTGAAGCTCTCCGAGGCGCTTAGGCGGGCGGGCCGGAGCGCCGCGGAGAGCTTGCTCGCAGACTACCATTGTTGTAACACCGTATTCCCAAACAAAGTGGTAGAGGCCGCCAATGAGAGGCGGTCATTCGTAAGAGATTCTTATTATCCCTTTTAGTCCCAGGAGTGACCAACATTAATTTTCTCTTAACAATAACAAAACATAATAGAGAGAAATGGTTATGAGAATTGCTAAAATGGTCACTTAAAGGAAAATGCTTTGATCTTTTATCAAATTCTCACAACTAATTCTTTAAGGAAATGTATGGAGGTCAGACTGATCATGTCACTGTCACTAAAAACAATTTTGGCTGTTAAATACAGTCATCCCCAGATTTCTCAACATGTTCATAATTCCACCTTCAAAGATTAGTATAATAGCATTTTTACCAGTCCAACCTGGAAAAGTAGTATATTTTTCCTCCTTTTATAAAGCTGGTAAGAAAATTCACATAAATTTTTAATCTTATCGANAGATTTCTCAACATGTTCATAATTCCACCTTCAAAGATTAGTATAATAGCATTTTTACCAGTCCAACCTGGAAAAGTAGTATATTTTTCCTCCTTTTATAAAGCTGGTAAGAAAATTCACATAAATTTTTAATCTTATCGATTTGTTCCGGCTCGAGGAATTCTCCACTTTAAAAACGAGAACAAAGACTGGCGCAGAGTTAACTTTCACAAATTCTTGTGGCACCATTACTGGCAACGCGCTACTGAGCTACCGTAAAATTCCGAAAATAAGCCCCGTGGCTTATATTTTTCAAAGACCCTTTTTGAGGGGCTTATTTTTGGAGGGGCTTATATATGGAGGGGCTTATCTAAGGAGGGAAATTTGCGTTTCCAAAATCGATTGGACTAGCCCGTATAGTTGGAGGTAAATTTACCGTTTTTGCTTTGTTTTACTTTGTATTTGGGGGCAATTTTCCAAGTACAAGCCCCGGGGGGCTTATATTTGGAGGGGCGATTTAACGGGGGGGGGTTTGCTTTACCGGTTTGGGGGGCTTATATTTGGAGGGGCCTATACATGGAGGGGCTTACTTTGGGAATTTTACGGGATTGGCCAATTTGTTTTCCCTGTCCCCAGTAACAGTGCCAGAAGTCTTTGTCTTTGTCTTTGTATATAAGTTAACAACTCATACTCTTTCATAGGTTACTGTTAGCGACTAAGTGTGGCAGTGGAACTGGAAGAAGCGAAATTTTTGGCAATTTTTGGTTGTATTCGACTGGTCGAATCAATGGGCTAAGAACATATGAAACGGTCTCTAAATGGCACGTGTATACAACCACTATATTTACACTCTAATAAACTCATCATTAAAAAACTTTTTTTTTTCATTTTGTTTCTGTAACTGTGTTCTGAAAGTCTTTCCTGGGAGGGTGG